CCCGGCTCAGGGGCGCATGGGGGGCGGGTGTCACCGGGTGGGGGTGACACCGGGCTCCGAAATGTGGCGAGGGGCTGGCACCCCCATCCGCATCCCACCAGACCCCCGGCATCCTCTCCTCAGGTGCTTGGAGCGAACCTTCGCTCCTGGCCTGGGAGCCCGACATGGCACGATGTGATGACCCTGCAAGCGATGATGCCATTAGCCGCAGGGGAAGAGCAGCGTGCCGGCCGCTGCGCCTCGGGCCTCCCAGGCTCTCCCCGGAGCCATCTGTCCCGGCTTTTATCCCCTAACAGCAAAGATTAATTTGTGACTACAACAGAATAAAAACAAAAGCGAAGGCTCGGCAAGCTGGAGTCCCCGCTCCTACTGCAGTGGGAGGGAAGGGGAACAGGGGAAGGGGAAAGGGGGAAGAGGAAGGGGAAGGAAAAGCACAGAAGGAAGAGGCACAAGTGCAACTCCGGCTACTTCACCCTGGGAAGCCCCAGTTCCCTGCTCTGCTCCGCAAGGGATGAACCACCGGGACTGGCCGAACGCCGGTGCCGGCCACGGGATGGTCGGTGACAGGGCGTGTTGGGGATGACCACGAGTGCCATCCACGGCCGGGGGGGGAAGCCCAAAAAGAGCCGGTGTGTGGCCGGGTCACAGGGAAACGCCACGCGGTCGGCTCGGCTCTGCCCCGGGTGTCCCGCAGGGCCGGATGGATGCGGGTTCCCTGGGCCATGTCACGGGAGTTGCGAGACTTTCAGAAGTGCCGTGGGCGTGCGCCCGGGAGCTTTCTAAGCTGAGGATGTCAAAAAGGCGTGAGGACAGTCCCCTGCAGGAAGGTGACCCCAGAAACAGTCGAAAGTTGCCCGGTGGCTGCCAAGGAAGCCAGGATGTCTCCAGGGAGCCGTGTGCCGTGCCGCTGGCATCCCATGCCTGTGCCCCTGGAACAAGGCCCTGAGCAAAGTGGCGGTGGCCGAGACTAGTGCCGGGGCGAGCCTGAAACCTCAGCCTGTCACGGAGCGCGGCGGGTGTTCGCGACGAGAAACCCCTCCGAGCACATCACCGAGGAAAGTCTCAGGTTGATGCCAGCCACGGGGGTCACAAATATCGCAGGTATCGATAGAGAAAGTGGGATCTGTTGCTCCTCTTCCGACCCAGCCGGGCGACAAGCACGTCTCCCACCAGCCCAGGGACACACCGGCTGGTTTGGCCGGCAGATGCCTTCCCTCGGCCGGCTGGTCCCTGCCCCAGGCTGGGTTTTGGCCTCCTGGGCTCCTCTAACGCCCGGCATGAGCCCTCCCCTCCGCCCAGCTCCCTCGGCACGAGGCTGGGCAGGGCAGGCAAGGAAGGAGAAACCAGGAGAGCGAATCATCTCTGCTACCCCGTCGCAAAACCGTGTGGGAAAAACCTGCCCCCGGCTCCGTCAGGGAGAGAGCCCCAAGGGAAAGGCAGGGAGGGAGCCCAGGGCGCTGCAGAGCATCGCTGGCTCCAAGCGAGCGCCGACGCAGCCATCCTGCTTCTGGGGAAGGGCCGGAATCATCCACCCTCCGAGCCCAAAAACTGCCCCAGGCTTGGCAGTCCCCATCCTCCGCCCTCCGTGCGGCGCCGGACCAGCTTAGCCCCCGGGCTCCTGCATCCCTCTCCGGGGCAGGGATGCCACTGGGTACCGCTGCGCCTGGAGCCGGACGGTGTCCTCCCTCGGCTCCGGGAGGAGCGGGACAGCGTGGAGGTGGCACGTTGGCGCCGGCGAGGCGCAGGATCCGCC